CAGAGCATGAAGCAGTCAGGTAAGTTGCACAGCACCCCCCACCCCCCAGTCCAAAGCAGTCCAGTGGCACCTTTAAGACCAAGTTTTATTCAGGTACAAGCTCTCCCTCCTCTGTGAGGACAGATCTCTACTGGTAGCAGGAGCTCCTTTGCATATTAGGCCACACACCCCTAGTGTAGCCAATCCTCCAAGAGCTTACAGTAGCCCCTGTAAAAAGAGCTTTGTAAGCTCTTGGAGGATTGGCTACACTAGGGGTGTGTGGCCTAATATGCAAAGGAGCTCATGCTACCAGTAGAGATCTGTCCTCACAGAGGAGGGAGAGCTTGTACCTGAATAAAACTTGGTCTTAAAGGTGCCACTGGACTGCTTTGGACTGGGGGGTGGGGGGTGCTGTGCAACTTACCTGGCTGCTTCATGCTCTGACTGAGAGCTGCTGGGAGCAGGGGGCGGGGCTTGTTGCATGTGCCCGCCCCCTGGGCCCTCTACTGCCGGAGCTCCGCTCCTGTGCGCTCCTGCAGGAAATGACCCCTGGATAATGCCAGGAGATCTCCAGTCTCCACCTGGAGGATGGCAGCCCTTGAGACTGGGCTATCCTGACTCATCTGAAATATGCCTCTTTACTAGGAGGAGGAGGAGATTGGATTCATACCCCGCCCTTCACTCCATTCCATTAAGGTCGTTCTGCTTCACTAGACTGCAGTGCAAGACACTCGGGGGGGAACGAGAGTCACACCCTATTGGTGAACAGAAAGAACACCTCCAGAGCTTACTCAGCATCAGTCCCGTTTCATGCCACAGTGCCAGCTTAACATGGGGGGGAGGCGCAATCAGATGAGGCTAGGGTTACCAACTCAGGGTTGAGAAATTCCTGGAGACTTGGGGGTGGAGCCTGGGAAAGGCAGGGGTTGGAAGTGGTGGGATCCCAGTGGGGCCGAACGCCACAGAGTCCATCCTCCAAAGCAGCCATTTTCTCCAGGGGAACTGATCTCTGCGGCCTGGAGATCCGTTGCATTTCCAGGAGATCTCCAGGACCCAACCTGGAGGCTGGCAACCTTGGTCGGAGAGATGTCCTAGACTTAGCTAAGCTTTCGCCAGTGCCCACTCACACTTTGGGTGCCATCCTGACGAACGAGAGCCCGAGGAACTACACTGACCGATGTGGGACCGTACCAGTGAATTATTCAGGCTATGGCTTATTTATGTATGCAAATCATTTAGAATCCGAGAATCGCAGAGTTGGAAGGGGACTTACAGGCCACCTAGCCCAGCCCCCTGCTCAATGCAGGATCAGCCTAGAGCATCCCTGACAAGGGTTCGTCCAGCCGCTGCTTAAAGGCGGCCAGGGAGGAGGGGGAGCTCACCACCTCCCGAGGCAGCTGATTCCACTGTGGCACAACTCTGTCAAAAGGTTTTTCCTCCTATCCAGCTGGTACCTTCCCAGCCTTAATTTAAACCCATTCTTGCGAGTCCTCTCCTCTGCTGCCGACAGGAACAGCTCCCTGACCTCCTCTAAGGGACGGCCCTTCAAACACTTCAAGAGAGCCAACCTGTCCCTCCTCGACCTCCTCTTCTCCAGACTGAACATTTCCCTCAGCCTTTCCTCACAGGGCTTGGTCTCCAGGCCCCTGATCATCCTCGTCGCTCTCCTCTGCACCCGCTCCATTCTGTCCACCTCCTTTTTGAAGGGAGGCCTCCAGAACTGCACATAATACTCCTGGTGCAGCCTGACCAATGCAGTGAACAGCAGGACTATGACATCTTGTGACTGGGATGTTATGCCTCTGTTGATACACCCCAAGATCGCATTAGCCTTTTTTGTCGCCGCATCACACTGGCTGCTCATATTGAATTTACGGCCCACTCGTACCCTAAGATCTTGTTTACACACACACTGCTACTTATATCTCACCTTTCTCCCCAGTGGGGACCCAAAGCAGATTACATCATTCTCCTCTCCTCCATGTCATCCTCACAACAACCCTGTGAGGTCAGTCAGGAGGAAAGACTGTGACTGGCCCGAGGTCACCCAGTGGCAGAGTGAGGGTCCTAACCTAGATCTCCCAGATCCTAATCTCACACTCGTAACCAGTACACCACACTGACTTTCAGAACAAAACTCCTGTGGTCCCCCATAACACCTACTGAGCCTGTCCTCACTTTTCTGTTCCACACACACACACACACAGTCCATCAAAGTCTCTCTCTATATATTTTATCTTGCCTCGGGCAATTCCGCCGAACAACTGATATACCCCAACACAAGCCATTTTTCTACCTCCGCACATCAAACGCCATTGCCATTTTGATGTTCTTAGGCACGGAATATCAATGAGCGTTAGCTTAGGAAGCATTCCTGATACCTTCTAACGGCAAAAGGGCTCCAGACTTGAAGGGATTAGAAAAGAAAAAGGGAACTTCAAAAAAAAAAGAAATGGAAAAGGACTTTTCATCCTCTGAATATTTGTATGCCGGAGAACAGACAAGACACGGAGGCCCGAATTTCCAGTGCTGTTGGAAGCATCTCTAATTGGGCTTTAATAAATTGGATCCAGACATGGCCTATGCAAACAAAACCGGGAGCATGTGTCAAAGGGTTGTGGGTAGGTAACTCTTTTTAACTCTCGGTACATAAGGGCCTGAATCCAAAAGTTGTTTTGCACAAGCCAAATAAGCAAGCGAGTCACCTCCATGTGGTCTGGTGGGATGGCGCGCCCAAGCAGGATTGAAATAGGATCTTCAAAAGTCAGGCCACACCAGTAACTTCCAGTATACACCGTGAGAGAATAGGAAGATTATTTAACTGGACCGTCAACAGCTGACCCCGTCTTTGGGTTGCAAGCAGGGCTGGTTTGTGGCGTTCATTTGTCCTGAGCAAAACGGAAAGAGCTTTGGCGCATGCTGAATGATGCACTTCTGATGCCGTTTAGCAATTGTTTGCGAGTGGTTGCAAAACGCACGGAAATGATTAGGTGTGTGTGAAAATGGCTAGATTCATTGCCTGCTCCTTGCCCGTTGACAAAAGCGACCAAGTTCCGCAGGGCCTGCAAGATGGAGTTCTTCAGCCAGGCATTTGCTTGAGGCAGTGGACGTCCCCCTCTCCCCCCCCCCCAGTTTCTTTGGCCCTCACTTTTCCCGCCCCATTTTC